TTATGATACTGCACTACATGTCAGATTGGGCTGTCTTTGATATGCCAATCAGTGGGATCCTTAGAGGGTGTCAAAACCTAGGTATGTTAGGACAGTCCGAGAATTCATCTGAGTGGGTGATCATAGTGATAGGATCAGCCCCTTTGTCGGACAAAGTGAATGATCGGGGATGCACTCTCTCTGATGGAAACCTAAACTGCCGACAGCTGAGGGAGAGGTCCTCTCTTATCGAGTAGTGTTTGATCATTATGGGATGAGAGGTTAAGTGTAAGACCATTGAAGATTATACCTGATGTGCTAATCTAGCATCTGCCCACAGTCCTTGGGCCTTCATAAGATGGCTAGACCCAATGACCATTTAGTGTAAATGTTGGGCCCATTAAGAGCCCATAATGATGGACTCAGGGATTCACTGCATTCAGTAGTGAATTCGGCTAAGCCTTGTAACAAAGGCTAGGCTGAACCCATGTGGCTGATGTGTAGATCAATGATAGGGTCCCACGCCATACAAAGAAAGCCAAGCTAGCCAGCATTAAAGTGGAAGTGAGTCTGAAAGCTTAATGGGCTTAAAAGCCCATTTCGAACTAGGTTAATTAGATTAATTAAATAGGGGCGGATCTGGGATTTCGATCAGTAGATAAGATAAGGGATTATCCTTATCCACTTAAAGAGTCTAGATCCAAATAAAGATTCGGATCAAAGAAACTCCTAATTTGATTAGGAAGGTTGATCTTTATTTGCAAATAAGATAAGGGATTATCCTTATCACTTAAAGAGTCCAGATCCAAATAAAAGATTTGGATTAGGAAACTCCTAATGGAATTAGGAAATTTTCTCTTTAAGGCTATAAATAAGAGAGCAAGGCAAACCTCCAAAGACACATTCGCTGAATACAGAGGGAAGACAACACAATTAGACTGCTCTTGCCTTTTGCTCTTTTTCTTCCTGCTCTTGTTGCCCTACCCTGTTTGATCTCCAGTTCTTGGATTTGATCAAGATTTGGTCTTGATATTGTTTCTTGCTAGAAGAAACAATTTAGAAGCTGTGCTTACTATCTCATTCGATTCTTGCTGAAGAATCACCAGTTCTTGGTGAAGAACTACTTACTGATCCTGCCTCACCCTAAACTGTGCCATTTTCAGTGGAGGGAGGATTTGGTACTCTCTTTGGGCGTGAACACCTACGTTGGGAGGAACATTCTTGTGTTGATTTCGTATCAGGTATATCTTCTTTTAATTTGGTTTCTGATTTGGTCTAGTTTGGTTACAAGAACGAATCTTGAAAATGCAGTTTTCTAAATTGGGAATAGGATTCCCAGATGGGAGTAAAGAAATTTTTGAAAATTTGCCCATTTGCCCAACCTTCCTATAGGGTTCGGCCATCCATATGATGGATCTCCCATCCCTTCAGTGGTATCGGAGCCAGGTTCAAGTCTTGAACCAAATTGGAACAGATCTGAATCTGCGCAAATGGGCAGAAGGCGCTCTACCCGATTTGCGCAGTTAGCGCTTTTTCTGGGAATTGGTTCCCAAATTATGGGCAGATGATCTGGAAAATAAATCTTTATTATTCTCTAATATTTATAGAATTGTTCTGTGAATGTTTCTTGAATTTTTGGGCTGCACATGTGATGGAGATCAAATCTTTTTGGTGCCAAGATTAGCGCACCCTGCGATTTCTTTTCTATTCAATTTCGGTCTGTAAATAATTTTTTTATTTTAGACAAATTGTATAAGAATTCAATGTGATGTAATAATAGAAAAAATTAGGTTTTTCTATTTTTTTTCCATCTGGAGATTGCTGGAGCGTGCAACAGAGGAGAAGAAGATTTCGCAGAAACAAGTTCTACGATCTACGATTTTGCAGATATCAATTCTGCAATCTGTGATTAACTGTTCTTTGCAGGTTTGCAGGATATCCAAGAAAATCACAGTGTAACCCTCTGATTTTAGTTTCTTGATAATTTGATTATCTTGGATTAATTTATTTTTCAGATCATTATTCTTGAATTAAATCTTGAACTAGACACCAAAACTCGGGCCGATTTGTACTAGATTTGGTCGAAACTGGTTGGACCGAATTGTTGGTTCAATGGGGTTGGTTTTTCTAACCCTAATTCGATTTAGGCCAGAGTGTTGATGGCCCACTTTAAGCTTTAATTCGGCCCACCTCTGTAAAAACCTAACTTTAATATGATAAAACTGAATCTGCTTTAATTTAGCTACATGGGCCGAACTGCTTTTTTGCAGTACAGCCCGTGTACCTAGATAATGTTATATGATAACATTATGGGCTTTTTTGGGCTGATACTGATTTAATCTAATTAATTAAGGATTTTAAAGATATTTTAATTGATTGGATCAATTTGTTTCATGCATGTGATGTATGGATGTGTGATGTGCTACGTACATGGACCATAAGTACTTGGCCCATGATTATTTCGATAGTGGCATTTTTATACACCATGGCTGATTGCACATCATTGCCATGGTGTTCATAAGATCATTGGGTGATCTCCCCGTTTGGTGGGCCCCACACCAGCTTCCTCCCCAAGAGGAACCGTGCGGAACCCTAGCCGTTTAGGGCCCATTTAAATTTGGCTTTGAAAAAGCCAGTGGGAGCCACTTTGGTTTGACCTAAATAAAACTAGGGTGTAATATTTCGTTCCCTCCACTGAAATATGAGTGCATGTGATAGGGAGATTCATATGATGAACTCTCTAAAGGCCTTCCATCATTAACATGAAGATGGGTCATTCAGTAATGAGGAAATGCACCATAAAATTGGGCTATCCATTTGCTGCTGGATCTGTTGGATTGTTTAGAAGAAAAACAATCTTTGAGAATAAAGGACTATTTAGAATAGATGCAGAAATCAAAATAAAACAACAAAAATCATTCTTCTAAGGAAGAGAAGATGAAGAAGAAGATGGCGGCAATAAGGGTTCAGAGAAAGAGAGTTTCGAACCTTAATCTCTCCTCTTACACCCCTAACACTATTTTATTAAGTTAAACTTTAATAATTTACAAAGAGGCCCTTAGTTGGGCAAGAAATTAAAAGAACATAACATAGAAAGAATAGGCCTAGAATAAGGCCCATTACAGCAAAGAACATAAAAGATAAGAAAGGATAAACAACCTATGGGCCATTCAGCCCATCTTCTCTACACTCCCCCTCAAGCCGAGCATAGATGTCAATCATGCCAAGTTTGCCAGTATCATGCTGAAGTTTCGCCTTGGGAATGCCCTTGGTGAGAAAATCTGCTAACTGTCCTTCAGAGGTGATGAAAGGAAGACATACTTCACCAGAAGCCACTCTTTCTCGAATAAAGTGTCTATCAACCTCAATATGCTTAGTTTTGTCATGTTGTACTGGGTTGTGAGCAATGTTAATGGTGGCCTGATTATCACAGTATAACATCATTGGCTTGTCATGCTCAATCCCCAGTTCCTCCATCAATGATTTTAACCACAATAGTTCAGAAACTCCATGTGCCATGGCTTTGTATTCTTGCTTCTCCAAGAGACAATATTACCAGTCACCAAGCTGTAGTACCCAGAAGTAGATCTTCTATCATAAATGGAGGACCATTTATTTCCTCGATGGGGATCGGGGACGGGGGATGGGGAATGTAATCCCTGTCCCGTTGCCATTCCTATTAGCATGATATTTGATAGTGTAAACCCACTTGCACCGTATAGGTTCCTTCCTAGCTGGAAAGTCAACAATATCCTAAGTATTATTTTTATCAAGTGATTCTATTTCAGTTCTCATAGCTAGGGGTGGCAACGAGTCGAGCTTTTCACGAGCTACTCGAGCTCGGCTCGGCTCAGTTTCAACCGAGCTTCAAGCCCAACTCATTGGCTCGATTATGAAATGAGCTGAGCTCGAGCCTACTAGAGCTTGGCTCGTGAGGCTTGCGAGCCGGCTCGGATATATATTGATATTTAATATATATTATATATATAATAAAATTATAGAAAATAATATATATATAATAAAAACATTATAATTATTAATTATTATAATTCTTAATTTTTTAAATATCAAATAAAAAATATTTTTATATATAATCCTATTATCCAAGGGTGTAATGGGGAAGGTTGTCAAAGGTGCAGGGATGTGAGAGTCTATCATAGACGATGAAGATAGGTTGATTTCGGACATCAGCAG